ATTTTGTGTTATTTATCATAGCATCCACTCCCACATATTTTTAAGTACATAACCCAGACAAAGGACGGGAACCTCAGCTTGTGCTAAATAGTTTACTACTGTAAACTGCTAAAATAACTGACGTGTAAATCTAATTAGCTTATCATCGTAAACTACCAAAGTAACGGACATGTAACTCGGTTAGTTTATTTAAAAGTGATGCACTGTGAAAAGTTCCAAGGTAATTAATTGCACAATAGTTATTTCACACCACTACAGGAAAGTGTCTAATGAGTATTGAAAAATTTCATGCATGTTCAATTTGTATGTTTTTAAATATAATTTTTGTTTGTAATCACTTGCAAATTCAGAAGTACTTTTTTTAGAAACTTTACTTGTATAGTGACTGATCTTTTTAACTTGGTTTTCCACTCATTTCTTGTAGCTTGATATGAAGAATCTCCACATTACTTCAGAGGTAGGAGACAGATTGGTGAATTCTGAAGGTGCACTATCTTATAAGACAAGGGTTTCGTCAAACCAGCCATTAAATCAAAGCCTGAGTAAACGTTTGTATGGCGATTTCTTTGAAAGGGAACTTAATTTAGGGAGAGGGCAGGGTAATTATAAAGCTCAGAGGCCAGTACCAGCTATTACAAACTACTGTCACAGTGCTGGAAGAGGACAGGCATACACAGTTAATGAAACTCGGGGATTAGGAGGAGGCTATTTTCGTTCAGGAATAGATTATGGTCATGCCAGTTTTAATATAGATGATTGTTGTGATGAGCAAGGAATGCGTTTGGAAGAGGAGGAGCCTGGAGTTTTTAAAATGCACAAGAGGTTCGGATCAAGTAGTCGTCGAAAATTCATAGATCCATACATTACTGCTAACTTCTGTGTAGCATGTGGACAGTCAGGTGGGTTATCTAAAATTCCTGTTTCCATGAATTTAAAGCGTTTCTGTCCCTTATCCTTTTTCTAGTTCAGTTTTTATTAAACTTGTTAATAATTGAGTGTACGTACATCCCGTTATGTTGATATAGTTAATCTCGTTTTTCAAAACCTAATTGGCACCATGTTGAAATTAAACCTATTTTGCTTATTTTCTATATTTGCAGCTGATTACTGTTAATTTGTATGGCAGTAGTGTTGTCTTGACAATTAACATTGTGTAGATCGTTCTTGAGTAGTTTTGCATGAATATCCAGAAACCATGTAACATGTGCATCATCATGTTAAAGTTATATTGAAAAAATAAATAAATTGTGTATAGGAAAAAAAACAAACTAAGATAATTTTGAGCTCATTATTAAACTAACAATTTTGGTTATAAATATTTTTCAGAAAGTCCTGGTATTTTAGTTTTTTTCACAAGATTGATTGTACTTAATAGTTAATCATGATTTGTTAGAATCTTTTGTATTGGCATGATTATAAGGCGGCCACTATTTTCAGAAAACTTGGAAAAAAAACCGAAAAAACTGAGCATCATAATATCCTTTTTAGGTCCACAAAATCAATACTATAACTGAACAGTCTGCAGGTGGATAAGTTGCAAGAATTAGAGATGACCTTGGTGCACATGTGTTGACAGATGTTGTCTGGATATTCAGGAATGCAACAAAACGAAACTGAATAACCATTACATGAGTTTTTGTAGGCTTCACATTAATATTTTACTGAAAAAAAATGTAGAAGCTAATTAAAAACACCCTCGAAATTCAAATATACATACATACGTACGTGCATACATACATACATACGTATGTACGTACATACATACATACATAACAGGTTCTGATTGATCAAGTTATAATAACGTATGTTTCTTTTAGGTGACTTTCGTTGTTCTCGTTGTAAGACTTGGTACTGCTCAAGAAATTGTCAAGTCAAGGACTGGCCACTTCATAAGCCTATATGCAAAGAAGTTGAGTAAGTTTCCTTGGAATTGTTTTAAATACAAAGTTACACCTTACTACTTACAAGAGAATGAAGAAGAATCTAGAGAACTTTCAATCTTCCCTAATGCCACATTAAATACAGTGTTATAAAAGGTACTAAAAAGCATTCATACTGTTTGTGATATAAAAACTGAATGCTTTTTAGTACCTTTTATAACACTGTATTTAATGTGGCATTAGGGAAGATTATACTGTTTGTGATATAAAAACTAGTTGTGAAATTGTGGATGAAATTAGTATTTTTTCCCTATATTTCAGAGCAATTAAAATGTATTTTTGGGTAAATTGGAATGTTTTTTTAATATGAAAACTGTGATTCTAGAGGAGAAAATGATGCATCAAGCATGAAATCATCAGAATCTTGTAGAGAAAGCTTTCAAAGCCAAGTTTCAAATACAGAGGACACGACGGAGATCCAACACTTTAAGGAAAATATAAATAAATTTAATCAAAGAAGATTACCTCACATGAATCAAAAGGAACAAAATACTCATTTAAAAAGTGAGAAAGAAGACAAAGATCATTCTAGAGAATTTTCTGTCAAAAAGCAGCAGCAGTTTATAACAAAAGAAACTGTGCTAGATCAGGGTCCTAATAATCTTGATAAACCCGAGTTCAATAAGGGACAAAAACTAAGAGATAACTTCAAAGAACCAGTGAGTCAGCAAAATGATAAGGGTTATAGATATAATAATAGTAGGTTCAGTGGCAAAAGTAATGGTAAAGGCTATCAGAAAGAAGACAAGGAAAGTAATTCGGATTACCAAAAAACTGATTACACTAGTAATAAAGAAGACCCTGACAGGTGTAATGTGAAGTCTTTTAGTACAATCCAAGAAACAAAAAAGGAACCATTACTGAAAGAGGAAGTCTTGAATGTTGAAGTGCTTGCAGATATACACGGGAAAACTCCAAGTATTTCCAGTGATGCATCAGGAGCTGTGTCAGAGGTAAATATTAGATAATTATGTGCTGTGACAACATGCATGTTTAGATTAGGAAACAAAACCTGTACCATGACCAACTGAAAACTGAAGAGATACCAGTCATCTCTGTAAAGAACTCATCTGGTTATTACTAAACCACATAACTTAAGTGGTGTAGTTACACGTGACAGAGATCATTTCCACAAATTATCGAAAAGTTAATTGTACTTAATATAGACCCAGCATTACATTTCAAATTACATAATAATGCTCTGAGTTTAGTGACGTATTTCATTATAAAGCAAATACTTTACTAAATTATCAAGGCCCTTATAGGTGAATATTCCACAAAACTAGTTTTGGCTTCAGGCCAACATTGGATGACCATTAAATGATTATGTATTTTATTGTTACAGAAAAAAGGTTTCCATATTTAGTAGTTTAATGGACAATAAGGATACACGATGTAAAAACAGGAACACACTGATGCTCCTTGAAAACAAAACTAGATCCAGTTAGAGAATGATTGTGGCATTTGTAATAACAGTTTTAATCAGTTTAAGTGAAACTGGCGATTAAGGTTAAACTTATTTCAATGATCACTGTTACTGGGTGCTTGGAAAGTTTGGTTTCTCTGGATGCATTTCATTTCATAGTAGCAAATCACATTACCATGATGTAAAAGTATTATAATACAAGATTTTGAAATTAATATTATAAACCCATTGAGATGAACAGTATTCATGAACAACCTACAAAGTTGCTAGTCCTTGTAAGGAATAGGAGCAATATATAACTATTTCTTTTTCTTGGAATTCCTTGATAGTGAGCAGATTTTAGTTGATTGCAAATTGGCTAATGTTATTCCTCTTCTCAAGGGAGGAGATAACAATTGTCCAAATAATTATAGGCTTATTAGTCTAAAGTTAATGGGAAAAGTTTTGAAAGCCTGATAAAATATGCTTTTCAAAGTCTTTTAACAAAGTTTAGAATTTTATTGAAGAGTCAACATGGTTTAATTAAGGGAAAGTCTTAACTTACTAATCTTTGACATTCTTTGAAGAGGTTACTGCTTAGTTAGATGAGGGAAAGGGTGTAGATTTGGTGTATCTGGATTTTCAGAAAGCATTTGACAAGGTTCCACATAAAAAGCTTGTAAAAAATATATATATATAGGTGTGGGAGATAAGTTAGCTAATTGGATAAAAGGGTAGCTGGATGGAAGAAAGCAGAGGGTTGTTATAAATGGAGTTCAGTCAAACTGGATTAATGTCACAAGTGGGGCACCTCAGAGCTAGGACCTTTGCTTTTTTTATTTACAACAATTGCATAAATGAGGGAATGTTCAATCAGTTGTTAAAATTTGCTGATGATACTAAGGTTTTTGGGTGGGTGTTGGTTGTGATGCTACTGCTTTACAAAAGGATTTGGATTATTTGGTGAGTAGGGTAAATGAATGGCAGATGACTTTTAATTATAATATATGCAATGTAATGCATGTGGCATATCATAATTTGAATTATGAGTGTCATGATATATAAAAGACTGTTTAGTGTAGGTATTATTAACTAATTTATTTTGTGAGTGAATATTTCAAGATTGCTTGGTTTTTTTCGTAACAAGAGGATTAGAAGCAATTATTGTGAAGTAAAGGTTATGACAGGTTTAGTTATGTAACTCAGTAAGAATTGTACATTATGTTTATAATTCATTGATGTTCAGGCTATTGAACGTCTCATGAAATTTATTGATGTCCAGGATATAGAGATTTTTAGAAGGTGAGCAGATGATTAAGTGATAAATATATAAATAGTGTGAGGTGAGCAGAAATAGCAGACAGATGGAGCAGATGAGAAAGTAAAGTCACTGGAAGTAGAAGTTCAGCCAAAGAAAAGTTAAACATATAGTTAACTGCTGTAAGAGTGAAAGGCAAGCGGTTAATACGTTAGAATAAAACTGACTGTTTTAAAAGAGATAAGAAGTATAGTTTAATCCATCAAAGCGAGTTCTAAAGTAATTGAACCAACCTGAGTGCACTTTGACAAAAGGAACAGACGATATCTGAAGTACAAGGACCAGAGCAGTATATGACTGTGGTAACTCATGCTATAATTGTAAGTGAATTATACATGGAATACTAGTGTGAAAGAAATAGAGAAAAGTAGTTTGGCTTGTCAACTGAAATTCTAAAGCAATTGAATAGGCCTAAGTGGACTTTTGACAAGAAGAAGAGAACTGTATATAAAGTGTTTGATATGCCTATAATAACTATAGTGTGAAGAATTTGTTGTATATATGTTTAACTAATTCGAATAAGTGGAGTGGGGGGGGCTGTTCGCTTATTTTTGAATTTATCACCAAAAAGTTGCAGATACCTACTGTAGAAGAACCCTTAGTCAATACCCATATTATTCAATCTACTTACTAAATACTACTACTATATGCAATATTAAGAAGAATTCTTAGTGTTCGAGTTGAACAGTCTTTTAAGCCATCCAAGCAATGTGTTGTTGTTATTGGTAGGGCAAGTAGGGTTTTTGGTTGTATCTACAGAAATATCGAATACAAATCTAAAGAAGTTATTTCATTGTTTAGGTCACTGGTTAGGCCACATTTAAAGTATTGTGTGCAGTTTTGGGCTCCCTACCTTAAGAAGGATATAATTGTTGGAATGGTTTCAAAGGAGAGCTACTAAGACAACATTTGGGATGAAAAGGTTGTCATACAAGGACAGGTTAAGATCTCTGAAATTGTTTCTCTTGAAAGATAAGAGTTAGAGGGGATTTGATTGAGGTCAAATTTGAATCGGAAAGAGGCATCTTGTGCATCGTTATTGTCATATGTCAAAGATGTTAAGAAATCTCCACTGACACCAATTCTCAAATCAGTTGATCTGATCTCATTTCAGTTTCAATTCTTCCAGCAAAGTAAAGGTTCCTTTAAGATTTTCAATATATATATGTATACTTGAATCTCATTCAACGTACATCACATTCCTAGTCCCTTGTGTTTTTTTTAACTGTGTTAAGATGGATAATAAGATGTATAGAAAGTCACTAGTTAGTGATCAATGCATGTAACCTAAATGTCAATAAGTTTGGAGGAAATAGAAACAGATGTGCAATTTTTGTTTTCCAAACATCCACTTGCAAATTTGCAGATAATTATTATGAAAAAATATTTTGTTTCCCTTTTTAGATTACCATTCTGTTCCTGTTTGGAATTAGACTTTTAACCTTCTGTTGGGTTATGAGTTGAAACAGTTGCTGATACTGAGACTTAACCCATATCAGTGTGCTTTGTCACACACACTTAGAAATAGCTTATTCTGTTTTTCAGAATGGATATAATCAAGTTGGATGACAAAAATCCATTATTTATTGTGATACAAGCTTTACATCACATTGAATGTGCCGGCCCTGGGATCCACTTGGATACCTTTTTAACAGATTTGGGTTAATAACATAACATTAAATGTGACTCTTCACTTTATTTTAAAAGTACTAACTTGGATGATGACAATAAGTATATGCATGAGGATAACCATGTGTTTAGACATTTTCATGTGTATCAAGCAGTTGAAATCAGTTTTAGAAAAACTTTACCTTCATCTTCCTGTAATTTGAACAGAACATTGTGAGTAATGATTAGACGCCAGGTGAGAATAAGAGAAACCATCACAAATGGTACATAAATACAAGTTAAATAAGGCTTAATGAAAATACCCTCTAACCCTACCTCAGTGGCTCAGCTGTAAGGCTGAAGGCTTATAACCCTAAAAATCTGGTGGGCACAGCTCAGATAGCCCATTGTGTAGCTGATGGTGACAAAACCTTGTTGAAACATTGTACATTTGCTGTTATGTTAAAGTTTTTCTACATTACCCATTCAAGCCGTCTTCAACCATCTCAAAGTGGGTTCCTCGTCATCGAATGAGTGTTTTAAATTTTGACCTGAATTTTCATATTAGTCATAAGTTGTCACTGTTGTGACTTCCATTCCTACTTCTTTCTAAACACAAGACACATTCAACTTTGAAAATATTTCCCTCTGTCAACTACGAACTTGCATTTGTGAATAAATATCTGGTTGATCAGAATTCCTGTTGTAAGTGCTAAAGAATTTCAAACACGCGTATACTGAAGAGTGGCATGTTCCTTCAATGCTGGAAGTAAGTGCAGTAGTTGGTCAAATTCAGATGCTTTTTGAAAACAACAACAATAATAGTAATAATAAATTAAGTTCAGTTTAGAATTTTTTTTAAAGTATTTCTAATTTGTGAAATTTTGTATTATAAGTCTAACAATAGATTTCCAGCCCAGGAGGTTGAAACAGATACAAAAGTTACAGGAAAAGAAATTGAAAGTGGGCAGCTTGAAATGAATATAGTTTCCAAAGATGAGCCTATTCAAGAGCAACTACAACCAGTTTCAACTCCCCCAAAAAAGTTCTGGTTATCAGATTGTTCTTCTATCAATCTCCCTGTTGGAGAAACCATTCCACTAGTAGTCAGTACCATTGTCTCCCCTGAAATGATGTTCTTCCATCCTGTGGAAGAAGGAGGTAATGTTTTATGCAGGGTTTGTTTTTTGATATACTAGATGATTTAGTCCGTGCTTTCTCAGTATGTACAAAAGTAGATGTATAATGCATTTAAAGTTCATACAGCCTTTGCTTTTTATAGCATTGTGTTATCTCTGAGATGATAGGTTAAAGTTACTTTTTGTCTGTTTTGGTAGGTTAGCAAGATTGCTAGTGGATACTTGTGTTGGTATCTTAGTATCATCATCTTTTTTTCTTAGTACTGTAAAGTAGTTTTTGCTTTTAAAAAAATGATAAAAATGAACTATGAATTAATACTTGTTTTGGTCATTTCCTTCTGAACCAGTTATAGAAGCCATGTTACTCCAAACTATTTAAATAATAACTGACAAGAAATGTCCATGTTTCTCAGTAATTGTAAGTGCACAGTTATCTCAACTAAATTTAATATCTACCTTGTTTAAGAAATTGTCCCAAACATAAACAAGAAGTTATCAGAAATTTTTGTTAAGAGTGAAAAGAATATGATTGAAGTATTGTTTTAGGGTTTGCATTAAAGACGGTATACAACTAGAACTCTTATCTTGTGATCTTCTAGTTATGAAAAACAATTTTTATTTTAGAACAGTTTGGTTGTTCTGTTATCTGTCAATTAGAATAATTTGAATACTAGCAGAGTTCCACAAAATATTTTCAGTCAGATTAGTATCTTTATTGTAACAGTACTTTTTTAAATACAGGATTTCTAGAATAATACAAAAAAATTCTAATCATAGACTTGTCTTAGGTGTAACTTTAGTTAAGCCTTTATCAAATATGGCCTATAGTCAATAGAGATAAATCATTACTGTAACTTCTGTATAATTTTTGATTTAGTTAAGGCTAAACTTTACTGTACTTAATACTATCAATAAATAAACCGATGTTATTCTATGACCTAACATTAGGCCTTTTTAAAAACTTTAAGGTTTTAATATGTTGTATAAAATATTTACTAAAGTATATTTACATCCATTGAAATGAAGTGTGTGTGTGTGTGTGTGCACTTTCAAGACAGACATAAACTGAATGTTATTTTAATAGATTAACTGGAAATATTGTTGAAACTTGTTAGGGCTAGCAAACATTTAGAAAAACTAACTTACAATAGAACGTTATAAGAGCATATTAGAAATCTTAAATTTGTATTGTTTTTGTAAATGCTTGAGACACTAGGAAGGCCTAAGTTACATATCTTACCATTTTATGTATTTATCTACAAAATTCTTAAATTTCCTTAAGTTCTGTTTTTGAAACATATTTAATATTGTTGAGATTGTGTGCACAAGTTAAGTCTGAGGTGTTACTTTTTGTAGTTTGACCACCCAAAGAACTTATTTGCTTTTTCATAGGATAGATGTAGAGCTGGATGATTAACTTGTTTAATTAATATAATTAATTACTTTTGGATAGTGTCATGAAAATAATCAACTGTTTCATATTATTACTGCTTTTGATTAATTCAAGTTTGTTCAACTTAATCAAAATTGAGGTTTCTGATTATTACCATCTTCAAACTGTCCAAGTAATCATAATATTGTCAGTATGTTTATCACAAAGCTATACAATAGGCTGTCTGTTCTCTGCCCATATTGTGTATCAAAACCCGATATATAGCATTATAAGTTGCTTTTTTAGTCATTTTATGAGAATAATGGATTAGTTCAATGTAATTGATAAATGATTCTAATGATGAATCGATCAGTAATTCCCTTAATTGTCCAGCTCTATTGCATTGTGTACTTCTTGACCTTGTGTTAGGGGATATTTTGTGTTTTCCACATGGAACAGAGATGTTTTTTTTTTTTTTGGATTGGTCAACTATAAAAAATTGTAAGTTTTCACACTTTTTGGAAGAACAGATTCTGTCCTTTGAGGAGGACAAACTCATTATTGTGCTCAAGTTTCATCAGTGTGTTTCTCTTTTATCTGTCCCTTCCACTAATTGTGTAAATTAATAACCCTTAACCTTTAAATACACTTCATTTTACATACTAACTTTACTTCAATATCCCTACCACCTGAATGGTCAGCCATTCTTTGCTAAATATAACATTTATGATTCAAACTTCATTTTTCATGTTTTGTTTGCCTCTTTCAAACCACTTGTAACAAATCACTGCACTTTTCCTTTCACGTACCAAATCCACGAACCTCTCATTTTTATAGGAATTGTATAGCTGCTATGTGCCGGTATAAACTTGAATTACCATAGTTGAGAAAGGCTGATAGGAAAGTTTGGAAAATGCTTAGATTTATTGATTAAGAATGAATCTGACATCATGAAATTGTAAATGATTGACTTTCCAAGTTATATGTTGTGTAAAAATACAATATTTTTATTATAAACCTATTCATCAACCAAAACATGATCGTTCCAGCAGAATTGTAACAAAACCGTATAAAATTATACCATTTATATAAAACTATAAAGGACCAATCTCGTAACCATTTTGTACTTGTTGTAACGTTTAATACAGGAAACGTATCTTCACAAATTTTCAGATTATCAGTAAATATTACAAGGCTTTACTACACAAAATACAAGATTTTTTAAATTAAGTTTTAAGATTTTTAAGTAATGATTTCCTCGTGCATTTTTTTCTTTTTAAATGTTGACTATCCAACATGCAAAGTAATTTTTGTTTTAAGATTAAAAATACTTTTATGCATCAAAAAATTGTCAAATTTCACGTGCATAATTATCATAACTTCCTTGTAAGGTCCAGATAATTATCAAACGTTTTTTTTTTAGAAACAACTTTATATTTTATCTGTTATTTTCACTATTGTATATGTGTATGGGATTTGTCTCATGTTACAGTATCCAATAGTTATAGAACTGTCCTTTACAAAGTGACCTGTCTTCAGTTTGTTCTAGTGAACCAGTATTTTGTAAAATACAGCAACATTTTGGTCATAATACATTACATATGTATATATATATAATTACTAGTAAATTTTAGTTATTTTTTTTAAAACATAGAACAGTAAATAAAGAAATGTAGAAAACAATGATTTTCTACTTACAAACATTGTACTTGTTTGCCTGCATGCCATAATTTCCTAAGCCTTGTAAAATTTCCCAAATGGAGGATGTAAAACAAAATTTTTTTAGTTTTTTATATGCATTTTAAAATAACCAATTATTATAAATTACTCTATCAATATCACAACATTCCACTGTAATTTACCAGGCTTAGTAACTAAACTGTATTTTGGGGAAAAAAAAAACGTTTTTCAGACATTTTCACTTAACTCTTTCTTCTAAGATTTGAGACAATGACATAATCCTGGGAACTTTCCACCTTCTAGAGGCTGATAAAAACATGTGGGGGACATTCTGAGCTTTTGATTAGTTATTCACACATCATGGACTGAAATAGGTAAACATAAGCAAGTATTTCCAAAAATTAAAGAGGTGGGGGAGGCCCACTGTGTTTGATTCGCAAAATGTAGTAATATCTCAGCAAATAGAAAAGATAGGAGGTTCTTATTTTATATTCTAGCTTGTAATTATTGGTAATTTGAGTTTCTAATTCATAAGAAGCTATAGACTTTGTATTTGGACATCTCAAACATCTAATTTGAACCAAAGCTGCATTCAACATATCACGTGACACATAAAAATTAATAGTTAGGAATTTTGTTTTAATATTTAATTTTAAATTAAGAAATTAACTAATGTGTAATACTAAAATTTTAATTATAATCTACAATCTGATACCAAACTTACTGGTATACATTCATAAAATAATAGATCAATAAAATTTTGAATGTAAGTCTACAAACGTGAGGACATGCCCTTTGACCCCTGACCATAGGAAGACCCACAGTGAGAGGGTTAAAGTGAAAATGCCTCTGCAGCCATAACACCAAAAAGTATTGGAGATATTCTGTCTATCAGACATAATAAAAAAAACATTCCAAACTAGAAAGGAAGTTACAAATTCAATGAGGGGTTAGGATCTAGATGCTTGAACTACCCACTTTCAAGATCCCATTACCACTCACTGCAACAAGGGGTTAGGATCTGGGTGCTTGAACCACCCACTTTCAAGATCCCACTACCACTCACTGCAACAAGAGGTTAGGATCTGGGTACTTGAACCACCCACTTTCAAGATCCCACTACCACTCACTGCAACAAGGGGTTAGGATCTGGGTGCTTGAACCACCTGCTTTCAAGATCCCACTACCACTCACTGCAACAAGGGGTTAGGATCTGGGTACTTGAACCACCCGATTTCAAGATCCCACTATCACTCACTGCAACAAGGGGTTCAGGATCTGGGTGCTTGAACCACCTGCTTTCAAGATCTTACTACCACTCACTGCAACAAGCGGTTAGGATCTGGGTGCTTGAGCCACCCATTTTCAAGATCCCCCTACCACTCAGTGTCTATAAACTGTTGTAGGCATGATAGTTGTCTCTAAAGACAAAAACAGAAATCTGATATCATCGACCACCCTTTCTACTGAAAAAAAAGTTTAGTTACAGTCTGCTGCCACAATCATTTATATGTTGAAAAGTACATCCATAATAAAAAATGTTGTATGTTTACATAATTATCATGTCAGATAATCACCTGTACATCTTTGATAATTGTGAAATATATATATATATATATGGACAGGTGTAGGTCAAAATGTTGTAATACAGCATGTGTCTGAAGTACTACTCAAAACTTCCTCCCCTGAAGGGTGAGGTAAAAAATTCTGTCTCCTGGTAAGGGATGGCGGTAAGTCTTCAGACTTGTACAACTAAAATCAGGGATTCAAATCCCTATGGTGTACACAGCAGTTAGCCCAATGTGGCTTTGATTTAAAATACAAACTATTGCTGATACTGTCTTGATTGTTCTTGAACAAATAAAGCTTTTATTTTTATTAAATATATTTTATAATGTGTTTAACACATTTTTGTGTTTGTTCTGTAGTGTTTCAGATGTTCTTTATTACACAGTGATCCTGAAGTTGCAAGAAATCATGAAGATGGTTAATGAAAATTGTAATAATCTTCCTGATAGTAGCTATTTACCAGAAACTGGTGAGATGTGCCTTGCAAAGTATACTGGTAAGTAATAAACTATTGTGTGTATAGGTTTTTAAAGTGATTATTTGTTAAAAACTGTACTGTATCATTCATAATTTACTAGTGCATACTTCTTCTCTATTGTTAGTCTAAAGGTAGTTAGTTACTTACTAGAAGCTGACAAGATATGTTTTGCAGCATTTGTTGGTAAGGATTGTTCTATTGTTAATGTTTCAAGGTGGCTACCCGCCTGAAACTGGTGAGATGAGCCTTGCAGAATTGTTTTATTGTTAATGTCTCAACGTAGTTACTCACCAGGAACTGGTGAGATGAGCCTTGTGGAATGTTCTATTGTTAATGTCTCAAGGTGGTTATTCATCAGAAACTGTGCAGAGTAATGGTAAGTATTGTTCAACTGTTGGTATATTAATTTGTAATATACTACACACAGCTGAAACACTGAATTACATGAAGTACCTTGGAGGTATAAAAACTATGGCCATGTTGACATTCAATACATAAGTATTTGTTTTGACAGTGTTTTTGGGAGGCTTTGATATTCAGTGGAAGAGTTTGTATATTGCAGTTGTTTCAAAGTCTGAAACCTGATTTAGTAGAGATTACATATATTTACTGCCAATTGATTTATTAAACAATTTATGTATTCACAAATTCATTTGTATATTAAAAGTGAAAACCATTTACATATACAGGGAATTTGGGCATAATTTGAAAAATTTCAACATATAGAAAAATGAGTATGTTTGACTATATTTTATATAAAATGTTCTTAACTATGTTCAAAGATCAGTATATTTAATCTTTACTTCTTTAAGTCATTGTGCCATCAAGCACACAAGACAAGAAACCAGATGTCTCCACTGAGCTCTTTTTTGTGCCACATTTTCTGGGTCTTTCATTTTTATGACAATATGCTGCAGTGTTTCTTTAAGTCAACCTTTCCACTTTCCTGGTGGATTACTTGTCTTGGTATTCTTGTTTCCTCCATTCTAATTGTATATTCTAAATCTTTGTACCAGTGCTGTTTTTGATGCTGATTTTGCTCTGGCTCATTGTAAGATTTTCTCAGATCTTGCAATGTTTTGGTCATTTGATGTTCATAATTTTTTGAGACATTTGTTTGTAAAGCTATTGAGTTTTTGTTGGATTATTGGATTTTGATACTTCAGATCCAAGCAACAAAACTAATTTTATGCTGCTCTGATAGATTTTCATATTTGTTTCATGGTTGGTGAGCTTTAACTTCCAGAAACGTCTGGAAGGCTGCACTAACTTTATCTATAATATTTATATCAGAAATATCTCTGTTGGCACTGATGACAACACTGCATGTGGTTTTTTTTTATTCTATTTTCATTATTGGTTCTCCCTCCAGATATGTTTTGAAAGAAGGAATGTTGATTGTCCATACTTAAGTTGTTCTTTTTTCCAGATGATGAATAGCAAAGTCTTACTTGCACAGTTCAATAAGTCATCAGTTTTCCATTGTTTGTAGGATAAAGATAAAACATACTGTGGGTGAAAGGCTCGGGGAAGAACAAGCAGGTTTTGGCTTAGAACTGTCATGTGTAAACATTGAACAAAGGTACATTGAACTAAGCACTGAATGGCAGCAACAAACTGTACAGAATTTTGTGAACTTTCACATGATGTCTGACTATATAGATAGATATTCTCTCTAGAACATCACAAAAATTTATGGATCTGCTATCATTCATAAACTTCAAATGCCTATATCATAATACATGGTGCACTGTTAATGATAAATGGAGTTAAAGCCTTGAGGTGAACATAGGTATCAAACAGGGAGGCATTGTATTACCAATCATGTTTTGTATTGTAATAGATTTCGTAATGAGACAGACTTAATGCAACCAAGGAACTGTGTTAATGATATCAGCTTACTGCTAGAGCAGCCACAGGAATTGTGTAGACTTTGTTAATGATATCAGCCTACTGCACAGTTCAAAAATGCCAGACCCAGACCAATATTCTATTGGGAGTGCATCAACACTATAAGAACAAATGCAACAGTGGACTGAACACTTCCAGGAAATCCTAAACAGATAACCACCACTTGATTAGTTTGGTTTTGAAAATACTGAATGCATGCCTTAGCTGGAAATAAAATCTTAAGGATATCAGCCTAGAAGAACTAAAAAGTTCTATGAGTAAAGGAAAGAGCAGCAGAGTTACTGGGGATGATCACACTAGTGATGAGCCCATTGTGGAATGTGATGAAGATGACTATAAATCACTAAAAGCTGTTTAATCTTGTCTGTGAGTCAGAAATAGTACCAGGAAGTATAGAAATGGTATGTCGATTAACCAAAAAAATATTTAAATGATTGTAATATCTATCATGACACAACAGTTTTGTTCCATTCTGTTACACGATGACATTGCTGTCCTCAATGATCAGCCCATTCCACCATGGATTGTTATCATCCCCGACTGTGACCTTTCCTTGAGCCATCTGAGGAAGGTGGATACTTCCGATTGGAAGTACCATCTTCTCTTTGCTGAACATCTTTCGAAACATTCTTCTCTCCCGTTTCCACGGATGGTTGGAAATCAGGTGACTCTGTAGGCTCTGCCATGGTTTGCTGTGGCTAGGTAGTTGCTTGCAGGATCCCCTCTACAGTTTCTGTATTCACTGCTGAGTTGTATGCTATTTCTCTTGCCCTGGATCATATAGCAACCATCCAGTACACTGATTGTACTATTTACACTGATTTTCTTAGCTCTCTACTGGCCCTAGAATTGCTTAACATTAGTTCTAATCATGTTTTCGTCAATATTCAACAACAACTGGCCCATTTTTCTCTATCTTCCATTTCTATCCGGTTTTTCTGGATACCTGGCCATGTTGTTATTTGTGGGAATGAGCTCACTGACACCACAGCTAAGTCCATCTGCTCTGGCGCCATAATGGCCATGCCTGTCCCATACATGGACTTACAGTCCTGTATTCAAGGTATGGCTTCTCACCAGTCAGCAGTCGACTTGGGGGTGAGCAACATTATAACAAGCTTTTCCAAATGAAACCTTCTGTTGCTATGTGGCCATCTTGTTTCCGGAAGGAGGAAGTTGTCCTGGCAAGGCTACACGTTGGTAACAGTTTTTTAACTCATCGTTTTCTTTTACCTTGTACTGACCCACCAATGTGTAGCCTTTGTGTCACAATGGCCCACATTTTACTGTCATTCTGTCATTATGACTGTGAGTGGCAGCACCATTTTAGACATCTCTTTTCTACGAGTTTACCCCTAACGTTTGACGGTGTCATTGGCGATGGTGACATTGTCCAACTTGATTGTATTTTAAATTTTTTAAGAACAATTGGCCTTTTTAATTCTATTTAAATCCATTATCATTGAAGGATCCTGTTTCATGCTTTTCTGTAATAACATATCCATTATCATTGAAGGATCCTGTTTCATGCTTTTCTGTAATAACATATCCATTATCATTGAAGGATCCTATTTCATACCTTTCTGTAATAACATATCCATTATCATTGAAGGATCCTGTTTCATACCTTTCTGTAATAACATATCCATTATCATTGAAGGATCCTGTTTCATGCCTTTATGTAATAACAGATCCATTATCATTGAAGGATCCTGTTTCGTGCCTTTTTGTAATAACAGATCCATTATCATTGAAGGATCCTGTTTCGTG